ATGTTGTAATACACACTGCGGGTCCTTCAAAGCCAAAAATATTTATTTGGGAGCCCTTTTCAGAGAAAACAAATTTTCAGACCCCTTTCTTAAACAATCATATAGATAAACTAAACAAAAATTTGTTTTGGGTCTTGGTGTAACCATAAGATTTGGTGCTAATAAAATGGCATGGAAATGTTAAACCACAATTTAGGGTGAGAGCAAGAACAATCAGCAAATTAGACTATTTCTATATGCACACCTGTGCTTTCAACTTCCCATTTTATTTAACCCATAACCATTGTCCTAATTTGGGGGATGTTAAAATAGTAAGAAGTTTGTTGAGACAAGTAGTAGATGCATTATGAGTTTAATCACCATTTTGCTCCCCAAGTGAACCAAAGTTAAACAGTGTTGCTATTTAAAATGTGCTAAGTGCCCTGTTGGGATAAATCCAATGACTTGAGGTTGGCTGTGTCAACACAGGTTTGATGAGGCTTCAGTCAGTCCATGGTCTTGAGCTAAGCCAATCACATCTTAATATTGTGTCCTCTGCTAACTTCCTAGTTTTAGCAAAATTCTTCCACATGGAATCCTAACTTTTACCCTTGGCTGAGATTCACTCAATTTCAAAAGGAGGCATGCATGGTAATGGAGAATACAGTATAAGACGTAATGCGGCTTAGGGCAAAGAGTGTGTACGCTAGATTCAGATGATTAATTATTTGAGTCCTAGTTTCATCTCTTCCTCGCTCTGTGAACTTGAGCATGTAAGAAGCTCAGCTCCATCACCCATAAGCAGGAGGATTTCATTCAATGTATGTACATCATCTATCACAGATTATGAACAGATTTTGTCAACGAGCAAAGGGATACAAAATTCTTTATTGTGTATAGAAAAAAATTTGTGCCGATGTGTCTGGAGATGCAGGGTCACTTGGCAGTCTTCCTTAGAGACAGACACATAATTACTGGGGTTTACACAGGGATTTTTCACTTAGACATTGGACCACTGTGGAAGCTGATTAGTAAATATTTGTAGTTATGACATAGTAAGTTATAGTTGTTTGAGTCTTACCCTGTAAAAATATTATTTTTCCCAAATATGCTTTATTTGGGGAACATATTAAGTATAAATGCTTAAACAAAGAAAACTGTCTTATAATGAAATTGAAAGGAATTATGATAGGGAACTATTTTTGAGTAAGAGAGTCTTTTGGGAGTACTCTGAAATACCTACTGCGGCTGTATTTCATGCTGATCTGTTTTCCATAGATTTCAGGATTTCTAATGAAAGCAGTGTACTCTTTTTACAGAAAATGTACCTTCAGACACCACACACACACACACACACACACACACACACAAATTTGTATACAATTTCCTTTGGGGATGCAACCCTAAATTAAAGAATTCCTGTTCTTGATTAGAGACAGCCTGAGAATTGAAAATGCTCCCTTAAGTCACACACACAATCAGAAAACTCCCCTCCCCCACGCTGATCTTAAAACTACGCCGAGCCAAAGTTGACAGAGGCATATGCAGTCTCTGCAGGCTTTGTGGTTTCTGCTTCATGCTCATACTAATAGCTATAAATAATCTCTTAGTCTGTGAATAAATTCCTATGTCAGAACACGAGAGAGGTACAAGAGAAGAACAAAGATAGGTCAGGAAAATCTACTGTTGACAACAAATAAATTCAAATGCTAATGTTTTTAAGACAACCTTGGGTGACAGGGGCTTCCACTATGAAAGGAAAGGAAGGGTGTAGGTAGAACAGGAAAGTTGAGGCCCCAAGGTTCCACAGGAGCCTTCAGAGGAAAAGGAGAGTCTGTTTACATTTATCTGACTCTGTTCTTTCCAAGTCAACCTACTGAGTTCAGAAAGCCAGCTGAGAGCCACTTGATCGGAGCGCGCCCCGGATCCGAGTGCGCCTCGGATCTGTCAGCTGCTAAATGGATCCCTGTAAGTTCCACTTTCCTAACAGAGGCACTTAGTAAGGCGCTGAGTGGTCATGATCACCCCAGAGTCTTGCACAGTCTGATAACCCACCTCTCAATCCATCCCCTTCCCTCCTCCTGTGTTCTTCATGCATTTCCAGAATGTAGCCAAGCCTGACCTGAGCATGACCCTGGGGTGTCCACCAGTTGGACCACTGATCATGTGTTTCCCAATAGGCTGGACTTTGCTCCCCACAACTGTGGGATTCTGGGCTGATACTTCCACCTTTCCGTATGTTGGTTTCCTACTATAAGATGAGAGAACTGCTTTCTGATGCTAAGAGGATAATGACCTCCGATCATAAAGGAAAAGTTACTGCTGGCAATGCTGTAATTGTGTGAACCAGCTTATTTTAAAACAATGAAACAACAATGGGAGCTGAAAGGGAGACTTCTCCCATTTCTTGAAGCACTAATCAGACTTTGAATAAGGCAAGAGTCCATATCTAAAGGGAAAAGAAGAAAACATGTGTCTCATCCTAAGACACAAATGTGTAAAAAGAAAGAAAGAAAATCTGTCTACTCAAATCCCACCATTGCTTCAAAGTTCAGCTCCAGTCCTACTTGATAGCAAAGCCTCCTCCAGTTAACCTAGACTTTCCACCCTTTCCTCTGACCATCACACAATCCTACTGTTTATCTTTAACATCTTGTTTTTCCCACTGTTTCCCATTTCATTTGTGCAGAGCCTGACTCACTAATAAGACCGGCAGTTTTCTTCCTTATTATCATTTTCATTAGTATATTCTGTAGCCTTCTGCAACTCACATCATTAAAAAAAATCTGCAAAACTAAGTTAAATTGAAAGGCAGAAAAGAATGGGACATAGCTGGAATTTTCGTTGGAGATGGGAAGAGGGCGTGTTCCACTGATCTGTTGTATACTTTCTGTCTGTACTTAAGTGACTCCCAGGTTTTCTTCTCAAGTCCTTCAGTGAGAGCTTTCCCAGTGGTCCAGTGACTAGGAGTCCATGCTTCCACAGAAGAGGGCACAGGTTCGATCCCTGTCAGAAAACTTCCTGCAGACCGCACAGAGGGACACCCCCAAAATAGTTCACTTGGGAATTCCCTGGCTGTCCAATGCCTGGGTTCCATTCTTGGTCTGGGAACTAGGATCTCACAAGCCTCACAGCCAAAAAAAATGCTGTTATACCACAGATATTTGTTGAAACCTTCTTATGCACCATGTGGTATGCTCATCATGAAGATGTGTCGTAGCCAATCAATCCATCTCCAGTAGCATAACAGTATATAAATGCCATTTCCCCCCAAACACCTCAAAATGCTCGAATCACAAAGTTCATTTCTTTCCACACCATTTGGGCAGAAGGGTCAAACCAACAGAAAATCCTCCCTATGACTTTCAAGTGGTCAAAACCTGAGGCAAGGTGCTAAGATCTTGGTGGTTTCCAACAGAGAAGGAAAGATCAGAACCAAAACCAGTCCTGCCTCCAGACAGGAACCAGCCCTTCCTTCCAGCCCCAGGCTCTTCAGACACCTGGTCATGCCCACAGGGCCCCAAGGGAAGTGGAGAGAAGAGACAGCCCCTCTGCAACAGGAACAAGGAGAGGAGGACCCAGCCCAGGCAGGTTCAATCTTATCCACTCAGAAGGGGAAGCTGCCCTCATGAAAAGGTCACTTCCAACACCAATTACTGCAAGGACACACCAGGCCAAACCCAGGCCCTGGAGAGTCAATGCCTACAGAGCAAACATTAACACAGCAAAACGGAAGCAAAAATAATTTATTGTCAATATTTTAACTCCTCTCCAAAGAAGTTCTTCATTATTTTCTTAAAAGTACAAACATGAAGGCTTAGGTTTGACATATAAAATATAAAGAGGAAGAAGGGAAATTCACCTGTTTCACTAGTTTCAGGAACTATGCTCAAAAATGAGACACCGAGTTACAATAAACATATCTTCCAGTTAAATAACAAAGCACATTCACATTATCCAGAGTCCTGGGTCATAAAGAGCTCAACAAATCTAGCCTGAGATGCACACTCTGACACATCCCCACACACAGCTGCCTCCCCACACACACATCATCCACCAGGGTCAGTTGAGATCCTGAGGCTATGAACCTCTCCTTACATGACCACAGAACTCTCCTGGAAAATTTCCAGCGAGGTCATTTTCCTAACAAGACCCTTTGGACAGGTAATTCTATGTCTGTAGGCGACCAAAACAGTCCCTCTTGTTCCCTCCAATCCTCACCTGCCAAAGGATCTGGCATTAAACTTCCAGCAGTTTAGTTCTGAGAGTGGTTCTTCCTATTTTACAATCATCTTCAATAAGATACATAATCAGTGCTTGAAGACACTGAGTCCTACAGGAAGGCTAGGGAACCCAGACAACGAAAAGTCAACATGAACTACCTCCAGTCTTAATGACTGTCTGATGGAAGCTGACGAAAATAAAAATGGACAAACTACCCAAAATGAAGAGTCGTGTGTTCAAAATTCACAGGGACCCATGTCTTCAAAAGAGGTGTTCAGGAATCACAGTAATTATGCAGGGAAATAATTAAGAAACACACATCTCATTTCTGTAGTGCTACATAATGCAATAACATCAGGTGATGTGCCAAGGCTGGTTTCCTGATATGTGACAAGTCTACGCATCTTGGAAGTAGACATGAACAGTGTTAATTACCTTTGACAAAGTGCATGTCTTTTCCCCACAGCCTTGTCTGGAGGTAGATCAAATGTAGGGTTGGGAGGGAGGAGAGTGACTGGCTGAACTCCCCCTCACTTGGCTTCTCCCTGTTGGCTCTCCTCTAGCCCAGGTTGGCGGGATCCTGCCTGAAAGAACACCTTGCCCTAAAAAGAAAGTGTCCACTGTGGGTGGAGGGACCTCCCCCTGCAGATCTGCCAGCTGCCCCATCACCCCACTGTGTCCAGACCCAGCTGGGGCACCGCTGGAGTAGTGCTTAGTTAGACTCCGAACCAGACGCTGTAACTGTGCAGAAGCCGGAGAACAAGGCCCGTCTCCACGCCTCCAGTCATTTTCAGTCCTTCTCTGTTAATTCTCAGGATCTCTTCTGTAAAGCGGAATGAACTCTCAGCATCCCAAAGTTCAGCAGAGTGCTGCTGTCAGACATAGATTAACCTTCATAATTCTGAAAAGGAAATACAAACGAAAGTCACAGTTTAAAAAAAGGCATAATTATTTTAAACATTTATTTTTCTTTTTTATTTTACTGGGTTTGATTATGAACTCCAATGTAAAATTGGAATATTTGTAAACTCTTAACAGAGACGGTTTACTCTCCAGGTAAAATACACACACACACACACGTTCACAATTCCTGAATTCCTTTCAAAAGGAAATAACACATTTTTTGCTTATTTACTTTGGCATAATTCATGATAAATAACATTTTGATGAGGACTTTTGGATGCAGAGGACATTTTAACAGTCAGTCTTTTTCCATAGTCTAATTGTAAAAATATTTCTAAATTTTCATTTTTTTAATATAAGCACAATATACAGTGAGAAATTCTAATGAGGGAAATGGCGCAGAGCTGGCCTAAGGCCGAGGCACTTGGGCAATGACTGAGGACAAGACATGGGGAGCCCAGTCTACTGGTTGACTCCTTCACAGGTCAGGAAACAGCATAAAATAACTACCCCATGTCCAGAATAACTCACAAGGTTCAAAATAAGTCACACAGATGTTTTACATAGTAAAACAGATTTCCCCTCTTTATCTCAGGACCCTACCCTCCACTAGGTGAAGAAGCTCAAGGAATGGGGGGATGGGGAGGGAGCAACCCATCACCAAAAAAATTCCCTTAACCCTGAGGACATTATGCTAAGTGAAATAAGTCAGAGAGAGAAAGACAAATATTGCATGATCTCACTTTTATGTAGAATCTTCAAACTCATAAAGAAAGAGATCAGATAGATGGTTGCCACAGGCAAGGTGTGGAGGAGGAGGAATTGAATGAAGGTGATCAAAAACACAAACTTCCTGTTATAAGATAAATCAGTCCTGGGAACAAGTTCTCACAAGGGGAAAAATAGTTTTGTAACTTACAAGGTGATGGTGATAGACGTTAACTACTCTTATTATGGCAATCATTTCAAAATATATGGATTGAGTCACTATTCTGTACCCCTTAAACTTACACTGTCTTATTAATTATATCTCAATTAACACTGCAAGAAAATATAAATTTAAAAATCCCCTATGACTATAATATTAAAGGAAGTTTTTCTTTGTAGAAGGCATCAAAATGCCTGCAGTTAGGTCAAGCAATCATATTCCCCAATTAGAGAAAGAGAAATACACAAACAATCCCTTAGGGATCCAAATTGCAAGCTAATTTAAGGTTCAGGCTCTCTAGCACACACGTTGGAAATTCCAACTGCGGACTGGCTCCAGGGAATGCTTGGAATCCCTGAAATTGTAAAATTCTGTCCAGGGGGAAGAGTATGTGCATTTTTTTCCAGGGAGAAATTACACGACTGTCTGCAAATTCTCTAAGAGGCATCTGAACCAAGCAATTTTAAAAACCACTGCCCTTTGTAGAACAGACTTGTGGCTGCCAAGGGGGAGAAATGGGGATGGAGTGATGGATCAGGAGTTTGGGGTTAGTGGATACAAACTATAAAACACAGAATGGATAAAGAACAAGGTCCTGTGATACAGCACAGGGAACTCTATTCAATACCCTATGATAAACCACAATGGAAAAGACTCTGAAAAAGAATATATACATATAAATAGATAGATATGTGCTGTGCTTGGTCGCTCAGTCATGTCCGATTCTTTAATAGACAGATAGTATAGGTATAACTAAATCACTTTGCTATACAACAGAAATTAGCACAACATTGTAAACTGACTATACTTCAATAATTTTTTTTAATGGCCAAAAAAAAAAAAGAAGCTTTGCTCTTTGAAGAATTAGAACACTGTCTGTGGGAAACCAGCTGCCTAGCTCATCACAGAAGGGGCTGCCCTGCCAAAGCCGCCGTGCCTGGGAAGGCGAGCTGGCCTCAGAAGCCCCGGGCCTCGCGGCGCCCTCCTGGGGGCCTCTCCGCCCTCCCTCTGGGCGTCGCCCTGAGTTGCCCCTCCCGCTGCCTCCCTGCCCTCGAGACGCTCTTCCAAATGGTCACTGTCTTCCCATCCATTTGAGAGGAAACTGACACTCACACTCCTGAAAATATCAAACCCTGTCCAGGCTCTGCCAAGAGGGTGTGGGGTCATGGAGAGACCGCCCCCCAGGAGAAAGGCCCGGGAGAAAGCGCGGTCTCCTGAGAAGCACAAACGCTGCTGCTCACGGCTTCACCCCGGGGGCCACGCCAAATCTGAGGCTCAGCTCCGGGTCTGTCAGGCCTCACAAGCAGCCTGCTGTTTGTCACACTGTGTGTGGACCTCCCAGCTTCATAATCCTCCTCAACTCTTTCTCACCCTCCTCCTAATCCCTCATCTCCGTTTGGGAAGGGCTGGGGACCACAGTTCTAGAGAGGAGGCTCAGAGAGTCAAGGCCGGTCACCACACAGCAGGCCGGAGGGCCTCTTCTCCCCTTCCGCTGTGCACAGGATGGGGCTGAAGGGCCCTTCCTTCCTCCCCCCTTCTCTCCCTCCTTTCTTTCCTTCCTTCTTTCTTTTTAGAATTCCCGTGGAGGAGGCAGGACCTTTTCACTCCACACAATGCTACTGGTCTGGCCCACAGACACTCCATCTATTCAGATGCTCAGTGAGGAAACTATTCACTACGTGACTTTCCCAGTGAGCTAAAAGTCGGCCCTCTGAATGTCATTCCTTTTATTCACTTGGGGAAAGAATGCCTTAAGAACTGCTTTATATAACTCTCTGCCCTCCCAGGCCAAGGTTAGTCCACTCCCGCCTCTCGTCCCCAAGAACCAAGTGTCATCACAGTAAACACTTCTTCAGTAAACACCGCATGGGGATGTGTGTGCTCCGTAATCTGTTCCACTCTTCTGACCCCTGGCAGCTAGCCCCATGCCTGCTGCTCACCACACATCCTTCGTGACTGTCTTTTTCATTCATTCAACTAGTATTTACCACTGCTGATGTACAGAGTGTTTCTGATGGATTGTGGATAAGGAACCATCCAAAATCATTAGTATTATGGACTAACCAAGATTCAAAACCCATCCAAGGGAGCACTCAGAAGTGGAAAACGAGAAGAATGGAAACTTAGGCTGACGCTCAGTGCAGACCACAGGGAGGAGGGCTCGGAGGCTAGCGGTCATCTCAACTCCCACCTTCCTTCCTGATAGGTTTTGTACAGGTTTTGTACAGCGTTCTCAGATTCTGACAAGTGGGGTATCATCTATGCTTATTTAAATAACGTCCATTTCCTCATTCCATTCTTAGCTTTAAACGTCGATGCACATTTTGCTTATAATCTTCTAAGAAAGAGACCAACTTGCCTCTCTACATCCCTCTGTTAATACCTTAGACTAGTGGCTTTCAACAGAAAAAGATATTCTCCAGATTGAACCATCTTTCAACAATTTAATATACCATTTACTTCAAATTCTTCAGTACTTGCTTCTCCGGTGCGACCACAGCGTTTCCATGAAGGTGTCTAATGATACTGTGATATGGGGTTCGGGGCTTTGAGTGCGGGTGAACCACAGCAAGGAAACACGAAGCAACCCTCATTTTTATAGTTTGTTTCCATGACTTTTTTTCCCAGCTTCTCTATCTGCTCACAAAGGGTAGGGACTGGGTGACCTCCACAGACATGGAGCATCACCTGCTCAGAAGTCAAAGTAAGCTCTCTGCCCCACCTGGTTCCCCCGTTTACCGTCACAGCTCTGCCTTCCGGACGTGCTCAACTTATTGTAGGAGCAGAGGGATCCTGGATCAAGCCCCAGAGTCTCACAACCAGCCACGTTCTGATCATGGAAATCCTGCTGCAAAACGCCCAGCACGAGCTCCTCACTCATCACATACTTCATAAAACTGCCATCTTCAGGAGGAATCCTGAAGTGCAGGTGGAAGATTATTGTGGCATTTTCACCACTGAAAGAAAGGCAAACCAAACAGAGACAATAAACATACCAACAGCATCACACTGCAACTCAGGAAACTGATTTTAGCAAAAACATCTTTTGAGTTCTACATGTTCTCCCAGTATAAAAAAGCAAAGAGTGCATGACCACAGAAGAGCCCTCGTCAATGCACTCATCACGCAAAATTGCAGTTATCCAAACCTCCTTCCACCTAAAACCCAACCCCGGGAAGCCCACCGTGAGAGGCCATGCAGGGGAGGCTCCAAGAGCTACCTAGTACCACACTTTGCCCAGAGGCAGGCCAAGGCAACCCTTTTCTCCTTGGTCTCCCTTCTCCCACGGGCCTGTCAAAGCTCTCCAGTTTAACCAGTTCATTGCTTAACCTATAAAATGGTTCATGTAGGGTCCAAAGCTCCCTGCCATTGGCAGGATACACAATCCTAAACTCCCCAGATGGCCCTGGGTACCAGCAGCAAATCTCACCTCCCTGGTTTGTCACCAAAGTGAGCAACGGTTTCTGTCCTGTTTCTACTTCCCACGGTTTTGCACCACTCAGTAAGGGGACCTAGGAAAGGGAGTTTTTCTCTTTCTAGAACATATTCTCCTACTTCTAAAAGAAAAATAATCATACGGCTGATCATTATGGTCTACATAGCTTGTTAAACGCTACCTCCCCATTTAGAATTCTCACAATTATCCTTTGGTTCAAGAAGGCCAGCCTTTTTTTTTTAAAGGCCTAGATTAAGAGGTAGCAATAAAATATTTAAGAGTGATCACATCTGAGACTCTCACCCAAGGGTAAGTTTTGCAGTCAAGCCAGGGACAGTAATGAATCAGAACATTGTCCCTGCCAACGACTGGCAAAGAGCTCTCTCTTGTGGCCAGAGATCACAAAGCCCAAACAAACCGAGATCATTCTGTCGTTTTGAGATTGCATCCAAGGACTGCATTTCAGACTCTTTTGTTGACTATGATGGCTACTCCATTTCTTCTAAGGGATTCCTGCCCACAGTAGTAGATATAATGGTCATCTGAGTTAAATTCACCCATTCCAGTCCAT